AAATTTGATTTAATGATTGTTAAGATTTATATTTTTACTCAAAGTTTAATAATCAGTTTTAATAAACAGTTTAAATTTTTTTAAAACTTTAAGCAAAGAAATTTTAAAAATTAGGCCATGCAAAATTAATTAATTGGTTTTCATAACTTGACTGGGTCAAATTTTGAAAATTTGTAGAAAAAATTTTTTATGTTTTAATAACCAGCGGGTTTTTACAAAAATTTCAAAAAAAATTTTATAAATATTTATTATGTACGAAAAAAAAGCCGGTCGGCCGAGTCTGTTTAAAAATTTCATGTAAGATATTAAATTTGTGTGACCTTACTAAGTTAAATCTAATACATGATTTTTTTATTTGGATTTTACAAATTTTATACGTACATAGAAAAAAAAAATTTATCGGATATGAAAGTTATGACTATACTTTAATGTTGAATACTTTATTTTTTTTGTCTTATCGTTATCAATTCGGCCACAAATTAAGCCGTTCTTTTTTTTTTTGGACTTAAGAATACTCCCACCGGATATCTTAACATATACTTTTTAAAATTGTCTAGTTTTGAAAAAAAGTTATGGAAAAATATAGTATTTTTGGTACCTATATATATATATATGTTTAGGTTACATATATACATAATACGTGTATATACATATATATGTTGTACAATCTAGTCCCAATTGTTAATTGGGACAGCCCAAATAAAAATTGGCCAGATCTAACACTAACGTCTAGGCTAATTAATTTGCTTTTGGCCAGATTGTCATTTGGGAAAATTGCGGTTTGGGGGCACGACATATACATACATACAATACATACATACATACATATGATACGTAAACGTATCATATCTTTAAAAAATATGAACCGAATTAGTAATCATTAAGGAAATCATTGAACACAAATCGGTTACTAGAGATAGAGATGATATACTTTTACAACATCAAAAACCTTAAGCAGATTTGGATTATTAGTTATCGAGAAAATCTTTGCATATATGTATGATAGCCAAGCTTTTTTAATAACTAAGTATGCAAAAATTATTAATAACTATGGGGATGCAAAGATTTTTTTCTATATTCCCAATAATGGGCTGAATTGACTTAAATTACTTGTTATTTTTTTTAAAAAAAACCGAAGTACAAATTATATCAAGTAAATTATTAAAAATAATTAAATATCAACTAAACGGTTTAATTTACATCCTGTGAGAGTATAATCTGCTTAAGATCATCGAATGTAAATGATTTAAGATCGTTAGTAATAGTGATAAATACTTATTTAGCCTACAAAATGGGAAATAAATAATAGTACAGGGTAATATTTCATCCAAACATAAAACAAAGACATGTCAATCACACGGGATTTACCGATTTTAATTTTTTTTTTTTTTAGAGAGTGGATTAGAAGGCTTTGAATTTAATTGATGGTTTTACAATGGAAAACAGAACACCGAAAAATAAATATTTCCTTACAAATAAGGATATAAAACTTCGGAAGAATCCGCCGTAAAATTAGGCGAGTTACGGGAGCAAGTGTTTGTTACTTTCTTATTTCTATTCATTCGATTTCAATAAATGCTTTGCCAATTTTGGAGAACCATTCTTTATGGCTTGGGAAAACCCCAGTTAATTTTTTTATCAAGATATCAGATATACTTTATGCGCATGTTGAGTAACGTGCATATGGGAAGATTTTGTGGAGTATCACGTGATTCATAAAGGGAATTGATATCGGTAACGGTATAGTTATACGTACGTACATTAAATAACCTTTATTGTATTATACAATCATTAATAATAATTATTATATTATTATATTACTATATTATTATGATTATTATTATTATTATATTATATTACTATGATTATTATCATTATATTATTATTATTATATTATGATTATTATTATTCTTATCAATATTATTATTATCACATTATTTAACAAAATTACGACAATTCTAACAAAAATTGCAACAAAAATTGCAACTAAAATTACAATCAAAATTTACAATGAAATAATTACAATGATGAAATCACAATGAGATTACAATGAAGATTACAATTTAGCCAAAAACAAATCCCGAGCTGGAAAGTAGGCCATTCCGTGGGCAAAAATTTATGTTGTTCAAGTTAAGGTAACACCATATGAAATATGGTATTGGACGACAGATTACATTGATTTCACGTGTATGATGCTAAAGATATTTTTAGATGATATCACGTGAAAACCAGAATTTTATATGGACAAGATAAAAACCAGGATTTATTTTACAAGTTATCGGGTATAAAATAGATTCTCATAAGATGTTACACCTAAAAATCAGCCAAATAGAACCGAATAGAACCGAATAGAACGGAGAATTTATGGTCACACTTATTTTACCTAAATGGAGACCCTGAGTCATTAATATTAGGCATAGTTTATTATTGTAAAGAGAACAAAAGGACTAACGAAAAAAAAAGATTGCAAATTTTTGATATCAAATGATGAAATTTAAACGTAAAATACTTTGATACGCACAATGCATACGTTGTTAGGCGTTCTATTAAGTATTAGGAAAGTTATTATATCGAATAAATTGAATATATGCTAATCATATTTAAATTAATTAATTGAGGTCTTGTGACTTAAATCTTATAACATTGTGCATCAAGATAGACTTTGCATATCGCTACATATAAATAATAATGAATGAATATTACATAACACTAACATTGTAGTTAAATCAGGAAATTAAAAAGTGTGGGGTAAAAAGTTTGTGGGGTGAGAAAAATTTCTTTCCATTTTTAGTTTAAATAAATAGTGTGCAACCCTAATCATCATCAATTAGGTTCAATTGAAATTTTTTTTGTTTTTTTTTTTTGTAGAGAATCGTTAAATGTAAATCCAATATGAACAAAGTAAAGATGTTTATTTGGCTTAGTGTTTATGATTTCGACACGGGTATTTATGACTCAGAGTTTCAAGCCTTTCTTCCTTTTGTTAACTTTTTCAATAATTTAATAGGTTTTTTTGGATTTTACAAATGACGTATAACTCGGTTTTAACTCGGAACTATTTGATCATGCATCATTAAAGATTGCTTCTCCACACAAAATAATTTTATTGTAACAAAGTTTCTCCAATGAAATGTTTCCTAAAAACAGAAATTTTAGGTCATATGAGTTATTAACCAGTCATTTAAACATTTAAGAGGAGATCAATAAGGAAATAAATAAAGCCTATCTATCTTCTTATTGCCAAATGGAAATAAAGTTAAAGTATAATGCGTAACAATAAAGTTAAATAACAATAATGAAATAACAATAAAGTAATAATATAATGTAATAAAATTAAAAAAATATTTATTAAAAAAAAAAAACGAACAATGTGAAGATGAATCGTAAATTCGTAATAAAGCCACACCGCCAATTATCCAAAAAGAACCCCATTTTTTTTACCAAACCAGCGAAGCGAACAATATATGCATGCACCCCACATTTTTCTCTTTTTTCACAAAATGTTATTATTACTGTTTATCATGCAGGGTTTCTGATAATTATTTATCCCATGAAATATGTTAATATGCTAGTTATTGTTAGTGTATATTATTAGTGAGTCTTTGAGTTTGAGTATGTAATGCTAGCACTTATTAGCATTTATTGGTATTTATTGGCATTTATTGGCATTTATTGGTATTTATTGGCATTTATTGTAATTTGCTGTCGATCACGTGTATAAACACTAAAGTATCTAAAAATTTTAGCGATGTGCGTATTTTAATAAATAAAAACTGGTTTTTTAATCATTACGTAAATGTATTATGTTAGATTGCGTAATGTATATCATTCAAGTTTTTTATACATACTTGTTTGTTAGTCACATACGTATATATTATTGAATTAACTTTTTAAAGTGAAAATAGAATTTAACGTTAATTCTCCTGTACAAGTTTTGTTCCTAAGAATATACGTCATCACAAAAATTACGCATATGTTTTCTGCATATTATATCTGCATATTATTTAATATTTGTAATATGTAAATACTTTGTAATTTCTAATTTCTTTAAACATCCTGAAAGGAGAATCTTTCTTATAGAACTCAAACATATATGCAAATTTCTAAAATTTTATTTTTTTTTTCTTACAGTTTACATTTTAATATTTTGCGCATTTTTTGGGGGGTTTATGTACAAAAAAAGATGATAAAAAAAAAAAACGAAAAAACATATGATTTGAAATTTTTTTTTTTTTTTGATTCTAGTTGTTATTTAATGTCCCTGCGTTATCATTCTTCTTAGAGGAAAGGGGATTCATAGTGGAAAATATCCAGCGAAAATGAAAGAAAAGGTACCATAAAAGAAACAAATATTTGTTGTAAATAAGCATATAATTGAGATATAAACGTCGTCAATTATCATCGAGCATAATAGATTGGATAAGAGATGTAAATGGGTATGAGAAAAGTGGAAAGGAGAGTAGAAGAGTAAGGGAGTAAATGAGGATATTGCTTCGTAATATTGTTATGATATAGAATGACCGATTATAAAAAAATATTAATAATATCAAGAATAATATGAAGAATAATTTGGAGAATAATGTGGAAGATAATGTCGAAAATAATATAATATCGAGAATAATATCAATAATAATATCGAATAATAATATCAATATCTTTTTTTTTTTTTTTTTTTTTTTTTTTGTGAAAAGTCTATAGATAATTATTAACAAGTAGCCCTCCAATGCAAAGAGAGAAAGAAAAAAAAAATTAATACAAACAAAAAAGGTACAAAATGTAGGTATAAATTTATTTATCCCATTTCAATCCCAAAATCCAAACCCATTTTTTGTTCCCTTTTGTTCCCTTTTTTTCATTTTGACCAACATTAACAAACGTTTGCGCGAACGTCAATACGAACGTCAACACGAAAGTCAACGCGAACGTCAACACAAAACGTTATTACAAATGTTAACACCAATGTTAACAAAAAATTTTTTTTCCACGAACTCCCCATATACTCATTTTTCATCTTTCTCGTATTTCTCCTTAATTATTAATAAGGAATGTTTTAAAATTTAAATATTAAAAAACATACTAGAACACCAATTTACAATTTCTCGAACACCATGAGCAATGTGCACAGCTTTGACCACAATTCCTTGATCGATGGATTCATCTTTATTTAAAGGTTGCTCTTGATCATCTTGACCATTTTGTGAACGTGGTATTATTCCCGAATCTTGATTATTTAATGAAATAGTTTGTACTGATGGTATTATTGGTATTGTATGTGACGGTGTTGAAAGGTCAAAATAATCAAACATATCCACATCTATGTCATCTACATCGAAATCATCATCATCACACATCCAAGATGGTGTTGAATCATATGAAGTAGATGGTGTAGTTGTATTACGTTTGATACTCGAATATACATTATAATTAATAGCATCAGATTTTAATTTTGTGGGAGCAAGTTTACATATAATAGGATAACCTTTCTTTTTCTTTTTTAAAGAGATTTTCATTTCTAAACCTTCATCACTGCTACTATCATAATCAGAATCGTAATGATCATCTTCTTCATCGGCAGAATCAACAGCGATACATTGTTCAACTTGATCATTAAAACGAATATGATGATGATGACTAGAATTGTCTTCGGAGACAGGAGGTAATAACGAAGATCTTGTAGGACCAGTTAAAGGAGTGGAAGGACCAGATATCGAAGAACAGGTAGAAAAAGTATCACAATCGCTAATATCACTATCATCATCTTTTTTTTCCCGAATTCTTTTATATAATTGAGTATCAGAATTACTAGAGACCAAATTGGTTCTACCTCTAGGACGTAAAGTCTCCGAAATGGATTTCTTTTTCAAACATGATTTATGGTGTGTTGAAGAAGGTAATAAATTTAATTCATCTTCAGTTGTTGGAGATTTTTGATAATTTTTTTCATTTTCGGAATGCCAAGCAGTATGTAAAGGGCCATATAACCAAGTCACATCACTATCTTTAAGCCTAAATAAAAAATATTTATTATTTAAATTATAATTAATTTATTGATAAAATTTTTTATATATATAATTTATTGTATTGTAAAAAAACATACCAATTAAGCCTTTCGGGGTTTACAGTTCTTAGTTTATACTTTTGTTTAGCCCAAGTTCTCCATGAAGCATTTTCTAGACGGATTCCATTAGCGATTTCCTTTTTCTGCTTTGACATGACTCTCCAAGAAGTCCAAATATCATCCTCTTCATTCCACTCATGAGAAAGATAGTCAACACAAATTTCCGGAGGACGTTGAACGATACCATTAAGGTTATCGTCAGGAGTCATTATAATTGGTTGCATTGAATAATTATAAAATGATTGATGACTGATTTTTTTTTTTTTTTTGTAGATTTTTCAGTTAAAAGGTTTGATTTTGAAATTTTATCGTTAGAGACAGTTCTTTTCAAAGTATTGCGGACCGAAACCGCTACACTTTCGTGGTTTCTTATTATTGAAGACAGTTTTGGTAATAAAAGAGTTGACTATTTTCAAATGACGAAAAAAATTTTTTTTTTTTTTATAAAGTAGGTAATAAAGAGAATATAAGAGGGAAAGGAGAGCGAGAGAGAGAAAGCAGACCGCCTAAAATATTTTGGAAAGGGACCGAGAATTATTGGTTAATATATATATATATTTTTAAGATAAAGGTAACAATACTGATTAATAAAGTAACGACAGATAAGGATAACTCAGATAAGACTTACTGTTTTTCTTATCGATTATGGTAAAAGTTTGTGAAAAACCAAATACAGATTTAAAAAAAATTCAGGGCAAGTAAAAATTGAAGGTTTTTATGGGCGAGAAGACCTAGGCACTATATAAATATTAGGTTAGGGTTTTTTTTTTATTATTATTATTTATATTTATATTTCTATATACTTATACATATAAAATATGTATATAAATATATATATGTATAGATATATATATATTACGTATGTATAAATAAAAAAAAAAAGAAAAATTTGAATTTTTTTTTTTTTTTTTTCAAGAAAAGTCATTTTATATTTATATATATATATTTTTTTTATGTTAGACCGATTTTTTTTACAGTATATATTCTTTTTTACTATTACAAATAAAATAAATAAATAAATTTACAATACAGCAATAACGATAACCCTTTTTTTTCTCATAACTTAATAACTTATCGTCTATATCAATCGTTAATAGACAATCAAAATATCAGTACATGCCGCAAAAAAAAAGTAGAAAAGCTAGGTAACCAATCAGAATGAAAGCCGATATTCACCATGACTCAAGGAGGAACCGGAAATTAACGGAGAGATTAATAAAAATAATAAAAATAATAAAAATAACGATATTGGAAATAAATAAAAATATTTGAAGTTTGCCAATATCGAAACTTAATAACGTGTATGCACAGAAAAACTGTATGCTACGCCCGCAGCATTTTTTGTTTATTATAAGATATAGAAAAGGTAGAAGATAAGTAAATCATCACTAAAAATAAAAAACAAGCAGAAACCATTAACAGGCAATGAATCATTATTTTTAAGGAACATTTTGGTATATCTTTCTTGATTCCCCCTTGCTACATTTCAATACGCATAATATAGTTTAGATAATACTTTGAGATATACTTAAAGGTATACTTGGGTAAATACTTGAAATATACCTGAGATTTACTTGGGATATACTTGAGACATACTTGAGATATACTTGAGGCATACTTGTGAAATACTTGGAACGTATCGGCGTGTAAGTACATATATACATCTATATATATATATATATATATATGATACTTGATATATCTGATATATACTTGGTCACGTGTTATTGTTAACGGACAGAAATCTCAGAAATCTTGCGGATATTTATTTAATACAATGATCACCGCCGAGCCAGCACCGAGTAAAAATCGGTTAGCAACGTGTAATATTTAATAAATTCAGATATGCATTTTATCATTTTAGCTTGATATCGCGTTTCTTTTATTGTTACTGATTTCTCGATAAGAAATTGATAAATAACTACATTATCATGATTACATGAATGATTCATTATGAATAAGAGCATACGATAGCACCGATAAGTTGTTAATCTTTTGGATCTGTGCTTTAAATGCAGAGTCGTGCAACTTTACCCCGCAGGAAAAATGTCTTTATATAGATTTGATAAAATTTTTATAAAACCTTTGATATTCAAAACTAACCATGATCATAATACTCCGGAAAGTTCATTATAAAACAATTATCTGAGCGTACCGATTGTATATAGGAATATATTTTCCGTTTTCGTATATTCAGTTTACAAATCTGAGTTTCCTTTGCGAATTTCCCATTATCGATTTGAATTGCCATTCATGGCAAAATTACTACAAATTATTTTGTGTTATACTGTACATTTGTAGAACGTATCATATATGTATGCGATTTACATATGTACCTCGTACACTTCTTTTTTTTTATTAATGTCAATCTTGTAAGTTTTCGGCCGTACCTCATTACTACGTCCGCCCGTACATATGTATCGCATTCTAAATACGTTTTATTTATGTAAATAATCTCTAGTTTTGTTTCGGCCTTGTGAATGTGGCTTAACTCCATCTTGCTTTGTTTATTTGATTGATGTCATCCTTTTGGGATAAATGCGCCCTTCACACAATGTACACAATGTATACAATGTATACATTTCGTTATTCCAATTCGTTATCCAATTCTTATTCTTTTATTCATCATTATTCATCACTACGCGTCACTACACATCATTATTCATCACTACTTATTACTATTATTACTACTATTCACTACATATCACTACTCATCACTATTCATCACTACTCATCACTACTCATCACTATTCATCACTACTCATCACTACTCATCACTATTCATCACTACTCATCACTACTCATCATTATTCATCACTACTCATAACTACTCATCACTACTCATTATTACTCATTACTCATCATTATTCATCACTACTCATCACTACTCATCATCGCTACTCATCACTATTCATCGCTACTCATCACTACTCATCACGTGATCAATTTTCTCCAGTCATCTTTTATTATCTGAATAGTATCGATGATTTACATGTAAGTACTACCTATTTAAAGTCCTGCGTATATATTTTTTGTATGTACTCAGAGTGCTTAGTAATTTTCGATGAGAATTTTTACATTTTGAAGGTGTTACTATCGCTATCATCATATCATAAATATCATAAATATCATATAAATATCATATCATGAATATCATTGAGTGTCGACAAACAATTCGATTTTGATATCAGTAAATCATCCGTTATCTCGAAACATACTAAATGTGAAACCTTAATTTAACTTTACTAATTTTGTTTATCTTTATTACACTGCATGTTCTTCGTTTTGCTTATCTATTCGTTGTTGTTTCGCGTTTACGTTTGGCGAGCTGATAATGTCCGTCCGTATCTTAGCACCGCCATTAACCAGTATTTACGAGTTAACCTGCTTATTTAATCGACTTGCCACATGAAATGCTATATATCTTTTCTTCTTATCCATTTAATTTATACTTTATCTATCCTTTGATTGCTTTTACAAATCAAGGTTCATTCTTACTTTTTCATATCTTCGTTATTTTACTTAACATAAAAAAAAATTTTTTTTTATTTTCTAATTTAATTTTATTGTTGTCCTTATTTGGTTCTTACTTATTATTATTTTATATATATTCATCAAAATTTTCCCTCAACTTCGTTGTACAAATAATTTTTAAAAACCCGTCTATTATTTTGATTTCTACCGCTTCATTTTTATTATAATTTCTTCTTTTATAAATCTTGTTTACAAATTATTTGTTTATCATTTCCTTTACTTAAACAATAATATCATTGTTATCATATTTCTTAGCAGTACTCGCAATATGAATCGTTTAAATATTTATTTAATTTGGTTAGAATTCTTTTTAGGACTTTTTTTTTTGAAAATATTTAAAAATAAATAAATAAATAACGATAAATAAATAAAAAATTTTTAAATATTGTCTAAAAATGACTAGTCTTCAGATTTCGTAAACTTTGGCCATTATTACGTACGTACTAATGTTTGATTAAGACTTTATATTAAAATTTTGATTGCTTTAATTATTTTAAGTATGTTGTTCTCTTCGATATACGGTAATCATAGTAAGCATAGCCCGATCAAAATAATATCATCTTTTATCATTATTTGTTTTTTAAAAATATACATGATTTGTATAATTTGTATAAAGCTTTATTTTTTTTTTTAAAAAAAAAAACAATTACAATTATATATATCTCTTGACTAACTTGTACGTATTCCCGGAAAATTTGTTTAAAAAAATTATATGATTTTTTGAATAAATCTAAAAACACTAAACCATATTGGCGTTTATTTGCTTTTTTTTTTTTAATATTCAGTATGCCGCATATTTGTTATATGCTATAATATATGTATTTGGTTGATCTTGTTAAAACTTTGCTTTATTATAAATATATATAGTTTTATTTTAAAAATCTTTTTTGTCTTATACTATTTTAACTATTTTTGCTAAAATATATATATACTTGTATTTAAAGCTAATATATATTAAATTTTACTGTTACTAATAATAACTTATACAAATATATATGGGCTAGGTACTGGAAAAAGAACCCAAATTGATTATTTTTTCAAAATAAAAGTTTTAAACTTAATTTAAAATTAGTTTAGAAACATTTTTCATTTAAGAAAAATTGTTGTTGCATTAATAAAATTTTACAGTATAATTGTTTGAAATCTGTATTTTTTTATGAATTAATAAAGATTTTTATAATATAAAAATTAGTTTTTTGCAAATTTTATTTTTAGTCAATTTGGTTCTTTTTTTTAACAGCTAGTTTATATATATATTTTTTAATATTAAATTAAAGTTATGCTTCTATCTTTATTGAAACTTGGTTATATTTTTTACAAAAAAAATATACAAAAAAATTTTATAATTAAATTTTATATTTAAAAAATAATAAAACTAAAAGCTTAAAAGTAGAGGATATATGGATCATTTTTATATAGTTTTATATAATATTTTAAAAGTTTTATATAAAATTAAAATATACTATTTATAAAACTTTTTTAAATTACAACTAATTTTTATTAAAATTTTACAAAATATAAATAAAATAATTTATCTATTATGATAAAATTTTGAATTATTATAATATTTAAAAAAATATATACTTATATATATTACAAAAGTTTTTTTAGAATAACTTAAATTTTTTTAGATAGTACAAAAGTATTAAATTTGATTGATTAATTTATGTAACTCTATAAATTAATTTAATTAATAAATTTTTATATCTAATTTTTAAAAAGTTATATCTTATTAAGTTTTTAATTAAATTTAATAATTTTGCTATTATTAAAATCAGAAAGATCTGCTTTATAAATTTTTCTTATAAATTAATATTAGTTTACTTAATATAATTTTTTATAAAATTAAATATAAAAAATTTTACTATTGAGTTTATATATAATTTTAATATATTACCTTCTACTTTTAAATTGAATATCTTATTTTTACAATATTTTGTTCAATAAATAATATTATGTTTTAGTATTCTTATTTTAATTAATTTTGCTTAAAACACAATATATGTTGACAACTAATAGAACTTTGATTCTAAATAATGACTTATTTAAAAACAAATTAAATAGGTCTCTTTTGCTAATTATAAAGAAGTATATTAAATTATTAGTAAAGCTGTAGAAATTTATAATATCAATAATGCTTGTTCTCTAAGTAATAATATAAAGTATTTTTATTTTCTTTTTGATGGCTCAGAGATTATAAAAAATGTTAAAACAGTTTTAGAAAGTAACTATTTTGTTTTAAAAAATCCAATTAGAAATATCTGTTTACATCTTTTTCATCATGACCATATAAACTGATTAACATTTTAAAAGAATATTTTTCTTAAGATGGTTATAAAAATAATAGCCAATTGAATGTCATTATCAGAACTATCTTATTGAAGCATAGACTAATCAAAATTTTGTTAAAATATAAAATATTATGATATAGTTCAAGATACAAATAATCTTGTTATTCAAAGTTAATTTTTATATGCTATCTACCAAATAATGATTTATTTAATAATTATGATATAATATATAATAAGATAAATATACTATATGATCTTAGATATACAATTACTATACAACTTATTTGTAATATTTATTCTGTATTCAAGAATTGAATAACTCTTGTTGGGAATAATATATTAAAAATAACATCAAAAATAATGAAAAGTTCTGAAGAAGAAACATTATTCAATCTATTTAAAGTTAGTATATTTACAAGATATAACTTTACAGACATAAGAGATTTGTTTCTTAAGAATCAATATCATATTAAAGATTATATTTAAATACATTCAAACAAAAGATTATGCCATTTAAAGAAACATTTTTAGTCTGAATACTAAATACTTATAATATTAATTCTAATATTATTAGTATCTGTTTTATTATATTATATTTTTACAAGTTTTGGCTAAGGTATTTGGTAACTCAAATGATAGATTACCAAAAGGATTTTCTATTATTAATGTTGATTATATTAAGAAATTATTTAACATATTTGTAATATGTAATATATCATTTAAAAACAAACTTCTAGATATTATTCAAATATGTAGTGATAATAAAATTTTTTGTTTCTTTTTGATTGTTTTATCTATTTTTTGTTTGAAAAATACATTGAACCTATAATTATTACAACTGAATACTTGTGATAAGATATATAATATAGATAAAAGAAAACCAGATAAAAAGATAAAAAAAAATAGAAAAAGAATTTTATTTATTTATTTATAGTAAATATTTATTATATAGTATCAAATTTGAAGCATATATTAATTTTATTAATTATTTAAAGATAGAGGGTAATATATTGAAATTATATATAAACTTAATAGTAAAATTTTTTTATATTTAATTTTATAAAAATTATATTGGGTAAACTAATATTAATTTATAAGAAAAGTTTGTAGAGCAGGTCTTTCTAATTGTAATGATAGTAAAATTATTAAATTTGATTAAAAACTCAGTAAGATATAACTTTTTAAAAATTAGGTATAAAAATTTATTAATTAAATTAACTTATAGGGTTACGTAAATTAACCAATCAAATTTAGTAGTCTTGTATTACCTAGAAAATTTTGAGCCATTCTAGAAAAACTTTGTGACATATATAAGTATATATTTTTAAATATAATAATAATTCAAAATTTTACTATAATAGATAAATTATTTTATTTATATTTTGTGAAATTTTAATAAAAATTAGGTGTAATTTTAAAAAATTTTATAAATAGTATATTTCAATTTTATATGAAAATTTCAAAATATCATGTAAATCTATATAAAAAAAAGTTACATACCTTCTACCCTTAATTGGATCAAATAAGATACTGTATAACATATTATAAAGATAAAAAATAAATTTAATTAATCAAAAATTCTTTATAACAATTATCAAAATAAATAAAAAATAAAAGAAAATTTTAAAAATATAGTAAACAAAAGTTCAGTAAATTAAATAATATACAAGAAACCAAGTATATATTACAACTCTTTCTAATAATCATCTGGACCAAGTTGATACTGAAAGTAGATTGAAGATTTTGGTTTTAAAATAGATAATATTCTTAGTTTTACATTAAATAAACTTGCTATCAACAAAGCTCAAATATGTGAAATACTGAAAAGTGAATAAAACTTAAATAGTTCTTGTTTTGAGTTAAGTTTTTTGTATAACAGACTATCTTGTATATTTGTTATCCAAATTGGATAAATATTTTAGAAACAAGTAGAGACAAAATCAATTTTCTGGTTAAGAATATTAAAAATAAAAAAAAAAAGAATAATTAAGAAAATTTTTTTTAACTTGGACCTTTGTAACAATGATATATATTTTTTTCATCTTTTTTTTTTTGAAAAGTAGGGATTTGGTTTATTTTTATTAAAAAATTAATATTGTACATTATTTTTTTTGTGATTACATATTTGTTTAAATATAACAAATAAGAAATATAATAAATATATAAATTAGTTAATTATATAAAGCAAATTAAAAAAAAATTTAAATCAAAAAGATCAAAAATATATTAAAATATATATATATTCTGAGACTATATATATAATATTTTTTAAAAAAATAATCACAAATGTTTATAAAAAATTGAACTATTTAAGTATATTCTAAACTTTAGTAAATATTTTAATTACTTTTCTATATAGAAAGTGTTCAGCTTAAACTCTATTCTACAAATAAATATAGTTTTTATTCTGATTAAGAGTATCTAATTTCTAGAGAATAGCTATAGACTTTAGAAATATAAAAACATTATAATGAATAGCAATTATAGAATAAAGTTTTATTCTGTTATTAAATTTCTTTTTTTATTCTTTTTATTGATTAGTTTTATTTTTTTTTTATTAGTTTTATTTTATTTTCTATTTTTATTTTTTCCTTCTTTAATTTTAAAATTATTTTC